TAAATCCAAAACACAGCACTATACCAGGTACTAGGAATAAAATTAACTATATCCAGGACATATGTGATAAAAATCTGAATGACAACACTGTTCAAATTAATCTTGCAGACATTGGTGACAAATTTCATTTCTGTGTTTTTCAAATAATAAACATTATATGGAATGTACACCAAAGAAGAGATTCTGAAATGATCCTGGGGGCAGAGACAAGGAGGGGAGCAATTAAGATGGTGAAGAACAGTTATTAATAAAATGTAAGCCAGTTAATAACAGAAGTAGAGATTAATGCCTAGACAGGAGTCTGTCACTTCAGGTTTAGATTTGCTGAGTGCATTAATACTCTAGTCTAGGTTGTGGTTTCAATTTTCGTGGTGTATCTGTAGGAATGTGTATTGTTTTACGTAGTACAATGCAGCATTGTACTAGAAATCTCTTAATCAGACACACAAGTTAACACATCTGCACAATGCAGTGTTGTACAGAAGTGAAGCTTCGGTCCTGAAAACAAGAGTTGTGCCAGCCTGGCCTGGTCTGAGCCCAGCTGGCCTTGTCCCCCTCAATAAGCCTAGCTTAGCCTAGCCAGGCAGACGTAGCTGCATCGCCTCCCCTGACATACAGATAGCTCATGCAAGGCTGGCCCAGCTGGGAGAGGTGCCCTGGGGCTCTAGTCTTGGAAACAAGAGTGGTACACTTCTGTGAGCCCTCCTGGGACCACCTAACAACTGCTTAGCTCCGTTGGGAAGCTGTGACATGTGTCCCTATGTTGGGAAGTTGTGACATGTGCCCCTAATACATACGTTTGCCAGTAATAATTGCTGGGGCTCTCAGCAGTCCATTTGAAATTTTCTACTGTTTTGTTAAATCTTAATATTTTTTTAAAATAATTTCTAAAACCCTAAGAAACGCCTGCAATTTCAGTAAATAAAATGACTTTTGCAAGGATGAGACACATACTGGGCCTTCAGAGAGGGCCGTGGTAGGGCTGTGCAGCTGCAGGGGATGGCTGGAAGTGGCAGCAGAAGAAACACTGCCTATTTTGCTGCAGCAAGCCATTACATCAATTCACTTGCTGATGGTACCGCCTTTGCCCTTGAGTTCTGAAGGGTTGTAAACAACCCTGTAGGCTAGCACTAGCAAACCTACCCAGTGCAAGCTCCCTAGTGAAATATTAGGGTGTAAGCCATGTAACCCATTGTGCAAACAGCACCATATGTAGCAATCCCCACATGATCGGGGGATGCTTCATCTCCAAAAACTGTGCCAACTTTAAATTTCATCATTTAATATCGCTTTTGGAGCCTAATTAAATGTAACTAGATTTTGCAAAGTCAAAGGGATTGATTAGTTATGAAGGTTATGTAGCTAATGCAGACCAGCTGTTCTTTCTGCATGAGGAAGCAAAGGTAAATAAAGCTGAACAAAACGTTCCACTCGGCGTGTGGTATATTGGGACAGACAATAATACATTGCTTTGTCCTTGCTTGTGTATTATTTCCTCTCCTTTGTTCTGATGTCATTGCTGTGTACACTAGATGTTTTTTTTCCCCCTGTGCCTCACAGGCTTACCCCATGTTTACCTTACTAGATTTGTCCTCTGATTCTGTATTTCACCCAGTTCAAAACCCCAGCTCAAAGTATTTTCCTTAAATGTTCAAAGATGATCAAAGCTTCCAAATTCACCTACAAAAGCCATTGAACAGTAATTGGTGTTGCACACCTATTTGTGTAAATCGTTGCTTTCTTCTCTCTAACTCTCCTTCAAGTTCAATTCCTTGGTATAATAAAATATCTTATTTGGTACTATTTAAGAAGTGGGGAGTAAAAACATTGGTAGTTGATACTGGTATAAATTTTAGAAGGCCTTTTTAAACTGACACAGCATCTTAAACAAGCAGTCTAGCTGTTCCTCAGCCACAACCCTGCTTTTTCCTTCCTCAGAGCAACCTCCATGGTGCTGGCACAAGTAATTGCTCAGCTGCATGGTGAACCCAGTCAGTGGAGTGATGCAGAGGAAGGGCAGGTCGATGGTTTGATTTAATACAGATTTGGTTCCTAGCCCAGCCCACTGCACCTACAGCCCGGTGCACAGCCGTGTGTGTTCTGGCACAAGGGAGAAAATAAGAGCTGGTGCCTGAGAGGGAGAACAAGAGGCTGCTCTTAGCAGTGGCAGCAGCATGGTTTTATAATCTATGAAAGTGGTGGTGGGCCTGAGGCAGTGCTTTGACAGTGCACATGATCCAGTATAGCTGCAGGCTCCTGCTGTGCCAGGCACCCTTTGTTCTCCCTGCTCCCCTGTGCCTCTTCAGCCTGATGCTTCCCTTGCCTGGAGGAGCGATCCGCCAGCTGTGGGGTAAAAAGATGCAGTAAGCTCATCTGTTTATCTCTTGGAGTTAGCTAATCCAATGGAAAAATTTGGGAAGAAAAAAAAGAATTATTTCAAAGCAGCATGATTTGATAGTAGCAACAGTCAGGAGCACACAGCTGGGGAAGAGACGGCATATTTTTTCTGACAGAAGCTTGGGCTTTCACATGGTTTGGTGTAACAAACTGCACCCTGAGACAGAAGGAAGGGTGGGAAAAAAGCCTTGCTGAAATTTCCAAGTCCCTCTCAAGAGGAAGGGCCCATGCTGTTATTCTGGAAGCACCATTTACACCAGTGTTACTCAAGCTATTCAGGGATCCAGGGAGAAGGAGAAAACAATGACATACAACTCTCAAAACAATCACAGGGTATTTTGGAAGGGAGGGAGGCAATCCACTTTATAACAATAGACACAGAAATCTTTTCTAGTATTAACACAAATAACTGACACCATGTGGACAGTTTAAAAAAAATGACAGTTTCCATAGGAACTGGAGACAGTCTAGGCAGTCTATAAAACTGAAATTTGCAAGAGATTTAAGTCAATGTGTAATAAAGTTAATGGAATTCTAACCAATGCTTGCTTCTTAGTTTTAAATGTTAGCAATAAATTGATTTTTTTTTAAATCCAACAGTTCTGCTACCGAAAGAGATGAGTGGTTAGAAGCTATCTCCAAGTCAATTGAAGAATATACAAAAAAGAGAATCACGTTTAATCCTAGCAAAAGTCTTGAAGAGGTATATCACACCATTATTGTTAGTTTGTTCTCTTTTTGAATATAAAGTTTCTTTGCAGGTGTTTAGATAAAGAAGAGGCATTCCATGGGGAATAATAAAGCAGGATGTTAAATGCTAAATGAGCAGGTTATAGAATGGAATGATTATACTTAATGCTATCTACTTCATAAATTCAAAATTATTTTCTTCCAAAAAAAAAACAAACCAACTTTCTCAAGTCTCTCAGTAATCTTGCAAACAGAGAAATTAAAAGATTTTAAAGTACAGTCACAACTGCTACAAAGAGGCTTGGAAAGTCATGTGGCCTTTTTGAACTAATTAAATGCAGCTCTGTCTTCAGGCATTCATTATAACGGTCACTGGTGAAATAGGAGATAACATTTAAGACATGGCAATTTATCAGAGAAGACTTTCCAACATAATTAGAGTTAACCTGTAATCACTGGTAAATATGACTGTTATTTCTCATCACTGAACATATTCTGCCTGTATCCTTTCAGGCAGATGCAGAGAAGGAGGAAGAAGATAGTCCACTGGGATCAAAGGCTCCAATCTGGATCCCTGATACTAGAGCCACCATGTGTATGATCTGTACAAGTGAATTCACCTTGACATGGAGAAGGCATCACTGCAGGGCATGTGGAAAGGTTGGGAAATTTTGTGATTACTTTTCTCTTAGTCATTCAGGTTCCTTGGGTGAGAAATACAGATAGAGCCTGATTGCACCACAGCAAGTCTTTTAAGGGAACACTGTACTATGATGCGATTATATGGGTTAAAATCAACATGTTTAGGTTGTTTTGGTTTGGGTTTTTTTGAGTAAGGTGTTACAACAGACCAGTGTTCAACCTTTTAACTTGTAACATGCCTCTTATTTTGCAGTGCTATTTCTGGTTGTCTTCTGCAGTTACGTTGCATAAATGAAAAATGTTAGCTGAAATGAGAAAAATACCTTCCTCACTAATTTTCATAACATGAATAATGATTTTTGTTTTTAAGTTAGTACTAAGGTTATTTTATTTTACACTTATGAAAGGTATATCTAATAAACTTTTCTTTTTCTTGGTTTTAATCAAGTGAGAATACAGAATTCAATGCAGCTGAAACATCTGTCTTGTGGAGAAGTTGTCAAGAGAGCAATGGCTGTTTTTAGTTATTTCCTTAAAAGCTTGTGATTTAAACAGTTCATTCACACAGGCTTATTCTACTTCTCATGGATTGTTAACATTGGCTTATTGCTTTGTGTAATTGGGTGAATTTTTTTAATATTTAAACTTTTATTAATTAGAGGAGGGAAAAGCAGCATGTTGAACATAAGGACATAGATCTTAAACTATTTTCAATGTAAAATAATGCCTATTTCAAGTTCTGTTACAGGCTTAACAGTGCCGAAGTGACTGTCTTTTAACATTTGGTGATTTTCAGGTGCATGTCATGGACAGTAATGCTTTTATGTGTTTCCAGATTGTCTGTCAAGCTTGTTCATCAAATAAACATGGTTTAGACTATATGAAAAACCAGCCAGCAAGAGTATGTGATCACTGTTTCAGGGAGCTACAGAAACAAGGTAAAGAAAATCTTTACAAACTGTCTGTCTTATTTTTATGGCTCTTCTTAACATGATTTGTCTGTGGTTCACCTTCTGGGTTCAAGTGCATGATTCTACTAGTACCTGAAAAACAATAGCCATGTGAGGCCAAAACAAGCTTCTGTGGCTTAAGCTAGGAAGTGAATTTGCAGTACATTGGCTCTTCCTTCCAGAAACATGCATCCATTTGCCCTACAGTAATAACTTGTAGCTTATGCTGCTTTCTTTTTCCTATAACTAGTGTTACATTGCTTTTCATTAACCCCAAGGTACAAGTGTACATTACAGTCCTTGCAGCTTATTGTGACCTCCCAGTAGGTTCACATGTGATTTTACTCTGTAACTTGTGAGCTGTTTGTAAACTTCATTTTTGCCAGCTAAGCTGCTGAGGTAGCTGAAGTTCTGGTGCTCTATAAAGTTACAGGCCTTCATCTTACTGAAGCTGAGTCTCTTCAGCTTCAAGCCTCAACTAATCTGGAATTCAAGAAGCTGACATGTCTGCACCTCAGTTCTGAGGGCAAACTCCTAACCTTTGCCCACTGCCTACTGGCAATGTGGATTTCAATGTAAAACACCACATCTAGATCTGTTTTCTTTGAAACACTTTCAGAGAAAGTGGTATAACTGATGCCTGCTGGAAAACATAGGTTAGATAGCCTGGTGGAAATAACATTTGTCTACAGAGGAGGCCCTCCTGGGTCAGTTTCCTTCTCATTGTGACAGAGCACAAATTCATCTCTTTGAAGGAACTTAAAATCATTATGCAGAAATAAATGTAAAATCAATGGGAAGCACTTACCAGTGAGGTGGGAATCCAGTCTTATCTTGCAAATCTCTGAATTCTGTCCAAAGACTCTAGTACAAAATACAAAACCGATTCATAAGCAGGGAGTGGGAACAGTTTGCTGCCCTTCCTTCTGGCAGAGGCTCCAGTTTGACACAAGCTCTCTAGGATATCAGGAAACCTGTGATGCCTTAGTGAAATAATCAAGCTATGGCCTTCAGCATGCTTGAGGTGACATTTCTCATGGGGATATGGAAAGCAGCACCCTTGAAGTGGTTTTGGTGCTAGCCTGCGATGAAGGGGGAAAGGGCAGCTTGGCTGGATGACCTGCAGGTCACGGCATTGGGCACTAGAGGCTGCTGTGCTACAGGCAGCTGCTTTCACCTGGGAAAAGTGCTGCAGGGCAGGAGCAGTACAGCTGGCGGTCCCATTGCTTTCCCGCACTGCTTGATATTTCGGAGCCTCACCAGGTTCAGGGACAATTCTAGAAGCAGACTTAATGGACCTACTCGTTCCAGGATGGGCTGTGAGTGGGTGTTGCTAGGAAGGGGGATTTTAAAGAAGCGAAGTGTTGCAGAAGTCTTTCAAGAGAGATGAAGGATCTGCCTGTGGCAGTGGAGAAAGACAGCACAGGCTCTGGAGATGGCAGTTTCCAAAAGTGTGTGTGTGTGATGGCATGATGCTGGAAGAGGAGCCCTACAGCACCCATACTGAGAAAAGCAAAAAAGATAACAGATGTGTAGAACTGAAGGACAGATTTGGGGAACAGAGGTAAAGCACAGACTGAACTGCAGAGGACAGTTCTGAAAGTTTGGTTTGGTTTTTAAGACATAAATTTCACCCTGCTTGTGGGCCAAAGTAGCTCGACATTGGGAAAACAGGCTCTGAAAATGCTCAAGACTAATTTGTTTACTTTTATGAGTCTTGTGGTTTTTTTAGTCGCCTTGTGATTTAGCGGATTCTAACTCATGGTTTTGATGATAATACAGAAAAGTTAATTCAACAGTGAATTTCAAGTGATTAGGCATTACTATTGAAGCACTGTAATCAGAATAAAAATGTCAGCTGTTTTTAAGGAAAAAAGTCCAAGAATCATTGCCTATGTTTAGTCATCTGTGACCTGAAAGCAATATGTTCATCCTGTGATCCTGTGCATTTTAGATAACCAGTGCACTCCTAAGAGTGGATCCCCAGTCAACCATAAATCTCCGTCAAGTGCCTTGTCTACAGTATTACACAGTATTCCCTCTGGAAGAAAGCAGAAAAAAATTCCTGCAGCCCTCAAAGAAGTAAGTAAATAAATTTTTTTTTTTTTTAAGAATAAAGTGATTTATTGGTCAAAAGTAATGCTTTGTTGGTATTATATCATCGATATTAGCAATTTACAAATCATTCCATATTTTAGCCATCTCCTCTAGAATCAGGAGAAATTCACCTGTAACAGTGGTTTGGGCCTTAGCTTTATATAGGGAGAGATCTGAACTGTGAAGTAGTCTATAAACTGCAGGAACACCTCTGAAACTGTGATTCAGAGAGATAGGCAGAATTGTAATTTCTGTCTTGCTTCCCTCTGTTTCAAGGAATTGTGTTTTACTTCTGCTTCAACAATCAATGAGAAGACTCCTAGACTAACTCAGCTCTTGGTTTATGATTAGGAAAGGTAGAGATAAACTCTCTCTACTTACAATGAAGGTCTTGGCAATGGAAGTAATTTTTTTGTGTAGGGATGTGTGTTTTCTAGCTATACATGGTCCTCAGTGTTAAAGCCCTCTCTTGTCCTAAGTTCCAACCTTTAGTGACTGAAGAAACCTCTCTTCCAGACCAGATAGAGGGTAGCAAACAAAATCGTTTCTCTTTCAGCCATCTCGGTTAATTAACAACATTAACTTGAGATCAGGTAAGAATTTGAGTCTTTGACAGAACAGGACTTTGAAGATCTGTTTTAAAAAAAGCAGTGCTGCAAAAACCTGGACAGATACATACTTACTCTTTGGCTTTGTTTGGGGCTTTTTTTGGTTTTTTTTTTTTTTTTTTTTTCTCTACAGGTTTCAGCCAATACAGAAGACTCTACAATGAGTGGCTACCTACACAGATCTAAGGGCAGTAAGAAACCATGGAAACACCTGTGGTTTGTTATAAAAAATAAGGTGCTGTACACATATGCTGCTAGTGAGGTAAGCGACTGCATATTAGAAATCAAATATCAAATGATAATACTGTCTTGGTAACAAAGTTGTTTATTTTTATGATCTAGAAATGAGCTATAAAATGAGATCACTTTACAGTAATTGATCTGATTGGGATGTAATATTTTGAAAAGGCCCAGGGAGCTTAGTACCATAATAAGCGGATAACAGCTACACTGTTTCTGATTCCAGACCTAGCTTTGAGTACCTCTGCTCTGCATACCATTGCACAGTTGTAGGTATGTTCTGAGTCCATTGAATATATGGGTGTCTGTTTGGATGCATCACACTGGACTAGTGGCAAAGCCAACATTAAAAAAGCATCTTGACGTATCTTGTTCTGCAGTTCCATAAGATGTTTTGAATGCTTGGAAAGTAAGCAAACTAAATTTTTTTGTTTTCCCCCCTCCAAACTGTTGTCTCCAGCCTGGAGTTACTTTTTAATGTACAGTGCTGCAGTAGAAAAGAAAGAAATGCATCTTATCTAATGGAATTTGCTGTTTTTTATTTAGAGTATGTAGTCCTATTGCAGTGTGGAATAGTCTCTAGCCAATAAATTCTGCACATCGCAGCATGTGCTGAGGATGTCATTATAGCACTGGAAGATCTTGGGTTTTGTTTTTATTTTTTATTATATATTATAGTTTGCTAATAGCTTTGAAGAGCAAAATATCCAAAACATCTGTTTAAAGGTGTTGCTACCCCTTACTTTCTTTCAAAATGTAAGTCCCAACCTATCTTGACCATGTAAAGGATTAGCCTTCTTCACCCCCATGCCACTCTCACTCTAGTTATTTCCTGGTTTGTGCTTGGTTTTGTTCCCAAGCTGTCCTGCTGTGGTGCAAACCTTTCTATTAGAACTTCTGAATTATGTCCAGAACCTGTGATGTTATTTCCATCACAGCATTTGCAATAGTAAAAAAAAAAAACCCAGGTAGTTCTAAAAATACTTTAAATAATTATGTACAAAACAATTACTTTTGCAAAGATTTAAGAAATATTTTAGAGCATTGTGTCTCTTCTGGCAGTTGCAAAGGAGACTTTGGCAACTGTAAGGAAAGGCATGTTAGTTTGTGAAAGTAATTTTTAAATTTCCTTTTGCTTGGCTTCCTCTGAGATACCAGACTTCCAGAGTAGCTTCAGTTTGCAGCTCACAATCACAAAATTAACTCTTTCCTATTTTCTTTAAACTAAGGAATATCTGCTCTTACTTTTAATCTTGATGATCCATTGCAGGAGACATTGTTTAAAGAGTCTCAAGGGAAGGTCTGGTGTGGCCTTATCCAGGAAATCCCACTTAACTATTTACCTTAGTTCCAAGTGATATAAAGATTAGTGGTTAAGAGACCACTTATTAGTGGTACAAAGAACTATGATAGTGAAACAGATTGCTAAACCTCACCTGACTATTTTGCAATATTAAAAAATGCTGCTTTCATGGGATAGTCTTGCTTCAATGTAGAGGCAATTACTGGTCTTCACCTGATGTGTCAGTGTTTATGTATATTCTTTGTTTATTTTTTCTGTCCAGAAGCATTGCAGGACCCTTCCTAGTTAAAAAACACTGTTTTGGAATTCCAACAGGGTGAAAATACTTTTTTTTTTTTTTTCCAAAAAATGCTGTGCATTGCATTTATTAATTAAAGGATAAGAGTATAAAAAAGGAAATAATTGAGATGAATGAGAAAGAGGAAAGGTTGCCTTTTTAACCAGATTTTGAAATTAAATGAAGATAAAAAGGTGCAGTTTCTCTTCCTGCTTTTTCCTAGCCAACTTGTGAACACTTAGCAACTCTTTTTTTCCTGTTAATTTTCAGCAACAGAAAGCAATATAAGTTTAGCTGTCAAAAGTATTTGGAGTGTGACTGCAGAGCTTGAGAACATAGGTTACATCCATAGCTCTCCTTTTAGCATACTAAGTGCAGGTATTAGCATCCCATAACCCTTTTAAGACCTGAAAACTCACTACTAAAGTTGTACTGGGCTAGATGCACCTTTGGTCTGCTGCCAGGTGGTAGCTGACCTTTTCATAGAAATCCTTACTAGGCAGAACAGTAAGAGACTATACAGTGAAAGACAAGGTAGATGTTATCAGGGAAACAGACAGAGGAAAAGCAATGTTGAAGTCTGTGAGGTTTTGTTATTTCCTGTGCCCTGATTCATGCATGGAGACTATAAAAAGTGGCATTTTGTGCATGACTATTTGTAATAATTTGTTTGTTATATAATCTGTTGTAATGGTACGGTGCATGAGTAAAGTCTAAATGCATTCATTAGCATGTCTTACAAACTCTAATTTTGTATTGTTTGCTTTTTTTCACCTATAAAATAGGATGTGGCAGCATTAGAGAGCCAGCCTTTACTTGGATTCACAGTCAGTGAAGTAAAAGACGAAAGCTCAGAGTCTAGAGTGTTCCATTTACTGCACAAAAACACTTTATTTTACATATTCAAAGCAGATGATCCCCATTCAGCTCAAAAGTAAGAAACTATTTTAATTAACTTCTGTTACTTTTTTCTAGAAAATGTGTCAGAAGTCATTAATGTTAATATTCACAGATTAAGCATATATACAAAAGATGCATATTATAGAATTTGTAAATAAACTTTGAAATTACTTAAACACAAGGTCCTGGTTTCATTAGGACTTCAGAAATGCTTTAAATGAAGAAGCAGATTGTCCTTTGGGAAAGAATGAATGTGAAAGAATGTAAAAGTCTAAGATGAAATAAGGCCTCTTTCTCAACCCGTTCCTCTATCCCTGATCTGCTCAAGAAGATTGAATATTGCCTTTGGATAAATCCAGAAATGGCATTTTAAGAATTAAGTGATGTGTGCCTTCTTTATTTCCATCTGTAAATTTCTGTTACTTTTAACAAATATATGGCAGTGAAAAACAAAGCAAACACTAAAAAGGGGCAGAAGTTTGAAGTGTGTGTGCAGGTGTGCATGAACACTTAATGTGTTCAGAGCAAAAACTTGAATTCAAAAAATGCTCAACACATGCTGTTTCAAGTCCTGCTGATGTGTCTGAGAGTCACATTTATTAATTTATGAATTGTGTATGTTTTATATAAAATAACCTACAAGCTTTGTCATTAATCAGTGGAAAACATTTCCTATCTGAATCATGGAGTAAACTAGAAATGAGCATGGAAGTGATACATTTATCTTGCCTATATGCCTAGCTTATCTGAGTGGTTTCACTGCAGTCTTCCCTAGCGAGTTTTAGACTAATAAAATAGATTTCATGCTCTAACTAGTCCATTATTAATACTTAAGCATTCAAATGGCTGTAGGTACAGTTTTGTACAAACAGGGTTATACTAAAAAGCAAAGTACTTGGGACAACTGAAAATTCTGAATAGCTGAGAACATGCCTAATGACTCTTCTCTACACACAAGATCTAGAAGTCTTTATCTGATTTTGGGGGGCTATTTTTTTCTTGCAGATGCACACAAATGTTTCCTTGTTAATTATGATATTATTCTCTTGTTTCCACCGTGTCCTCATTTGTACTATATAAAACAAAACAAAAAAAATGGAGGCATTCAATAGCTTTGTTTTCCTATTCAGACAATGGCTTTTGTCATCAATAGGAAAACTTGAAATTGGACATACTCCATCTTACTGAGGCTAGGAAGAACATTAAGTACCTTAAATTGCAAGCTTTCTCCAAATATTTAACATCCTTAGAGATTTATGCTGAACCTCCAGAATAAATGCTGCTTTGATAGCATTGAAAGAAAAAGTGAAGAACATGCTCTTGGCCTCCTTACATCAATGGACACTATTTTTTTTCCTATTAGGGCCAAAGAAATATCTGATGTATTTATGTAAGTGCAGTAATAAATTTTAACAGATGTTTACTTTTTGATGAGGTTTCAAATTTAAACTTACTCCAATACTATGTTCAATGCTTAAGCTGTTTATGAATTTGTTATATTTGTGTCCCATCTTGGTTACTTTTAATGACTGTATGGCAGTGGGAAATAAATGAGCCCCAAAAAGTAAGGGATAGAAGTTTGAGTTGTGTGTGCAGACAGGCATGAGCAGTTACACACATCATGTTCCTACCAAAAGCTTGAATTCAAAGAATATGCACATGCTTAAAAAGGGTAAGGAAGAGCCAACACCTGTGACAACATTTAGATACCCTGTGAATGTTAAAAGAAGTTTGAATTTACATGATAAAAATAATTTTGTAGTCTTTGTGTCATTCTGTTCTTGCAAGATTTTCACCCATGAAAAAAATCATCAGCATGTGGGCCCCTTTACATGCACACAGTTCAGACCTCACTTGAGAGACAGAATTATTCCAACTTTTTTACTGCATTTGTCAGTGTAGCATCGGAGTGTTTCAGAAACATTAAGTTTTGCAGTATCCTTGAGAGGAGGATGCTTATCACCCCCATAATCAAGTAGGAACAAAACCCACAGCTATAGAGGGTAAGAGTATTTGAATATTAACCTTGAATTTCCAGTTTGAGACGCCTTGGATCAGCTGCTTGAGACTCCCCCCTTTACATATACTTGTAGTTTCACAGATTTAATGTGCAGGGTATCTGTTAATATGGGATGCGGTAGTAGCATGTTGTGCATGTGAATACGGGGAAGTTCTGTCATCATGCACAGGTGCCATTTGTCCTTGTACCAGCTGCAAAAGCTGAAGGCATGGGTTATGCAGATGAGTACCTCAGTTAGTGACCTGATTCATCCCAGATCATGTTTGCAGTGAAATAAGAGAAGGGATTTGGGTTTTGTTGTTTGTTTGTTTGTTTTTAAAAGCATGCAACCACGTTATTAAAGTTGGCAGAACCTTGGCATATCCTACTTTTTGAGCATTCGACTCCCCAGTTTCACTGATTCTTTATGCATGAAACTTCAGTATGGAAGAGGTACAGAAAAAAACTTCCTATGTGCCTGCTGTGGATACCTAATGTCTCTAGCAAGCTTTGTATGTTTGGGCTCATGGGATAGATTTCTGGCATTTGCACTAACAGACCAAAAGGTAATGGAAGTACAATGTTGCTTCTTGTGTGAATCTGTCACTAGTCACAACAGTGTGTTTTATACTTTTACAAGCAACTTCCTAACAGTGTCTCATTTCCTAACAGGTGGATAGAAGCTTTTCAGGAAGGCACCGTGTTATAGCAGTGTCAGCATCACGTCTGCAAGTTTAAAGGAAGATGTCCAAGGATGGTGGTAAAACAGAGCACAGCAGCTGTTCAAAGAAACAGAATCCTGCCATCTCATCCTACACAAAATTGTGCGTTTGCCAGGAGTAGGAGTTGTTGCATTTTTAGTGTAAGGTAATATTTTTTAAAAGAATTGTTTGTATTTCTATGTTGATATAAAATGTGTTATTTATTAAATTCCAATGTTTACTGTAACGGTCAAAATTACTTGTGAGTCCCAAAGTGCCCATGTCTTCAGAATGGCAGGTGGTTGGTCAACATATTCCCAAAGTTTGTGCTTAAAAAAACCAGACACACAAACAAACAAAACAAAACAACAAACCACAAAACAAATCTGTTGCAATTGTACAGTTCCCCATGATTTGTTTATAGGTCTTGAGTTGTTGAAGCTCACTTTGTAATTTAGCAGGAACAGCTCAGAATAGGAATTTCAAAGGTTTTGGATCTTTGTTGGCTATGTAAACTCCTTTGTGAGAAATTGTATAATATTGCTGCTCCTTTCCTTGAATGGCAGTTGGAATCTTGCACACCAGTACAGTAAAACAGTACAGCATAATCTGTATCACAGAAGCAATTGCAAAGTAAAGATCAATTATTAAAAGAGAAAAGGGAAAAAAATATTAACAGACATAAGGCACTAGATCTTTTATAGTATTACAAATGCCAAAGAGACTAAATGAGTTATCTTCAAACAATTGCAGGATCTATTTTCTTTCATGCTTCCAGGAGTAACTTAAAGCAGAATAAAATAAAAAATCTTTTGTTATACAGGGAAAAGACAAATTATCTTATTTTTTTTGTAACTTTTTGTCAAATGAGTTCTGTACAGAGTATGAAACACTGTATAAACTATTGTTCAAAGAACATTAAACAAATATGTGCACACCCCTCTCCCAAAATCTTAAACTATTGTATATTTAAATATTATGTTTAAACTGGAATTGCCATACCAAGAAATCCCTGATTTTTTTTTTTTGGATCAGAAATGTATACCATTCTTTTAAATACCTTTTGTTTACACTATAATTTGTCCTGTTTGATGCTTTAAAACACAATTTAGTTTTAGGTGGTGGGTTTTTTTGGGTTAAGAAAATTCAGTATACCTCATGAGGAAATAATTACTGATTTCTGGTGCATTTATTCTATTTAAATTTTTAGAAAATTATTAACACTGTAATAGCATAAATGGAACTAGAACTATGAAAAACACATGAAAGCAAGCCATTTATATGTCAAATGTGAGGCACATGTAGCCAGTTAATTTTACTGTATGAAACACTTCTCAATAGTCCTCTGAAACAAGCTAGTTTTGGTAAAAGAATTAAGAGCAATTAACTTTTAATTAATAGTTTGAATCCATGTTAATAGCTATTCTATGGCCTCAAAAAGCAAAGGGAATAGATGGTAGAATAGTTAGTAGTCATCACAGAAAAGCCAAGAATGAAAACGCAGACCAGAATTCTCGTATTCCCTTAAATTCTCAAGATCAGGTCTAAGATGCTAACATAGCTCTGAAGAAGCTTGATTTTTCCAAAGCTGCTTCTAAGATAGTGGTGGGCTTGGAAGCCTAATGCTTAATACTAAGTAATTTCATTGACTTTGAGCATTTCAGTAGAGTACCTTTCTGAATCAGGGACTGAAGGCTGTTGATCTGGCTTCCTTCATGAGTGCTAGAGATTTGGCCAGATAGTGTTTGAAATTCAGTGAAAGCCTTTATTCTATTTTAATTAAAACAGTGATAAATTAGCATATTTCTCTTGATATATATAAAGGGTTTTTACTTAATTTTCAAAACCAGCTGCTGACTGAAGCCACATAAGCTATTAGCATGTCTCTTCAGGGTGATTTCTGTCATGGTTTTTACTGTATCCAAAACAAAACTGATACTAATGTAACATAGATGTGATATGGCTCTTCCAGTTGATATTATCAAAGGGAAAAGCTTCTTAATAGTTTTATAGTGACTGTGCACCAACCAAGATGGAAAGCCATGAAGAATCAGAAATTTGGCTAGGAGTGAGCTAATTTCATTTCAGTTTATGGTTTGGAATTGATATCCCTGCTGTAAAACAGCAATAAAAGTTAAAACACATTCTGAATAAGGTGCCCAAGTTCTGCCTTGTGTGGCATCAAACTACCTCTCAAGGATTTGGTGCAGGGTGAGAAAATAGTTTAAAGTGTACTGTAAAAATCAGAGGACTTCTTCCAGAAGCAACTGATTGATCAAAAAAATCTTTCTGTGACATAAATAGATTGGAATGGAGCCTTAAAAACAGTAGTACATATATTGTAATTTTAATTCCTTGTGAAATAAATTGGTTTTGTAAACATATTTGAATATTTCTTTTCCTCTTTCTCCAGCACAAGTGCTTTGTGTCATGAAGAACCCACAACGTAGGCATTTTCATAACATTTTTCAGATGGTTGCTTTCCAAACTTACCCTATTTCTACAGCTCGCCTCCCATTTTGATTCATTTCCATCAAAAGTAAAGTATTCACTTCTTGATTGAACTAAACACTAAAACAAGACCGGAAGTTTTTAAATACCTGGCTACCTCTTCTTATAAGAATCTATAGTGAATAATTAATTTAAGATTGGTTAGTAGAGTATGAGACAAACATTAGCACTGAGTATTAGTTTTAGCATCTTTATTCTTGGATAAATGAAAACTTTTAGGATCCTGAATTCTCTTTAACTTAAAACTACTTTTTGTGCCCAAAGGACTTAAAAAACAAATGGATAGCCAAGCAGCTATGGAACACATTTTACTAAATATTTTTTGTGTGTATGGAAACTTGATTATGTATATCATATCATAATGTAAAGGGGTGTTTGGAAAGACACAATCAATGCATTTGTTTGCCATAACTGCTTTCCCCTGTATTTACCATCCAAATACACTTTTATTTGGAGCAGTCCTAAATTGTACTGTCTAAATGAAAGAATAGAATCTTTATTTTGTAAATGAAAACAAATTGAAGTTGTAAATATTCCTGTGGATATGTATCATGTTTGTATAAATAAATTCACATTAGTTGAGTCTGTATTGTGGTTTTTTAGATACCTGTTTTTTTTTTTCAGGGGGTTATATATTACATAGCTTTTGTATTCATTGATTTTCAAACAGCAGGATTTGCTGGCATTATCCTGCACATCAGTGTTGTGTGGGGAGCCCCAGAATCAC